AAAAAAAAAAAAAAGAGAGTGAGTGAGAGAGCAGCTTCCTTTCCTACCTCTCCCCTTCCCCAACTCCTTGCGGTGCATGATCCTGAAATCAGAATTAATCATTCGCCAAGGCGTCAGGAGGAGCCCTCGATGCATGAACCTCGGTATCGAGTCCTAAGGCCTCTTTCTCTCTTTCTCTCTCCCTTTCCCACTCGCTTTCTCCTCCTCGAGACGGCCGCAGGAATTATCCCGTCAATGCGCATCGGCCCGCGGGCCAGCTAATAACTACCAATTTACCTGTCTCGCTCAAGCAAAAACAGGTTCCGCATAAATTCTCTCCCGGTTACGTCGGGGATGCTATTATGACAACTAAGTTGGCACAAATCAATTACGAATGTGCCATCTAGCCGCGCTATCTCTCCTTTGCAGCGATCGGGTAAATTCAGAATGTGTCTTTTTGACTGTTGAATTGGCACGCGTCGCGACAATTATCGTCAATTCATGAACGAGCTCGAAGAGGAATCACTGTGGTTACGAATATTCACTTACTCGTCATGCATATTCTTGATCAATGATTATAAATCTAACTTGACAAAAATGTGCATAACTTTTTTCCTTTATGACAGGAATCTAACTTTATGCACGTAGAATAGATTGTGCATTGCTGTAGGAAAGATGAAATTACCGTTAGTAAGAAAGAGCAATAGAGAACAAGATGCTTTTCTTATCTATAATTGTCTAATTGGTGGGTAGGTAGAGAGTTGATAATGACAATGTGAACAGCTCTCAACTCTTTTTTAATGTAACAAGATCTCAACTGCAAGCATATAGAATAGACTGCACATTGTTATAAGAGGTATGAACTCAGCATTAGTAAGAGAGAGCAATAGAGAGTAAGATGCTTTTCCTTGTCTAAGCTGTCTAGTTAATTAGAAGCTGATGAAAAATTGGTGATAAAAATATAAAAATATAGACTACCCTGGACGTTTTTTAATATGACAGGAACCCAACCATAGATATATAGAATAAATTGCGCATTGTAGGAGAGATGAAGTCAACATTAACAAGAAAGGACAATAGAGAGTAAAATGCTCTCATTGTCTAATTATCTAGTAGGGAGAATAAAAGAGAGAAGAAATCCTCTTTCGTTGCCCCTATTAGACAATTAGATCACATAATCAATGGGTCCTCTCACTCTTTTATATGTTTCACTTTCTCTTTTGTTTCTCCTCCCCTCGCTTCCTCCTAAAGTACTATGTGACAGAGAAAACAAATCTGAGATTTGGTGTGTATATCTCTGTTCTTCAATCTTGTCATCAACCTTCTCATAGGAGTGCACAGTCTACTCTATAAGCTCCTATAATCCCAATTATATGAACCAATTGTTTCGTAAACTGTTGATATCAAAATGAATAAATAGGATATAAAGACTTTAGAGAGTGACTCGCGATACTAATTTAATTTTTTTAATGCCAAGAGAAGCTTGATTATACTTCAAAGCAAGACAAGACAAGTGAAAGTGCCATGAGCGCGATAATGCTTCTTAGAACCTGACATAAAAATAAACTTATACATGTGTAAACTTCAGAATGTAGATCACGTAATTACCTACGGTAATTACATATTTGCTATTGAGAGGAATAATAATGTAGCTCCTACATTACATCTTTCGCCTTTCTTTCTACAACTTCTAATCTTTTGTCTTCTTGTTGTATGAAAGTCTATTGTTTGCCCAAAAACTTCTCTGGCACTTTTAGCAAAATCGTCTGAAAGCAAGACGGTACTCAGACGGTTAAGTTACCGGCACATAGTTACCGTGCTGAGCAATAATCCATTTCACACCAGACCCACACAAAACCCGCGACTGTCCTAACGAGAATCGATGATGCTTTGCTTTCAGTAGCGGCTGCGGGCTTGAGCGGTGGCCTACTCGGAAGCGGTCTGATGCCGCTGCACGTGGAGGGCGGTTCTCAGGTGCAGGTGCCGCGGTCCCTGATGCAAGCGTTCCTACAGCAAGACCCCAACCACCCCGGTCTGGAGACGGTCCGTCTGCCGAGCCCGGCACAGTGTGGCGCCGACGAGAACGGGCCGCCGCAGCACTGTCGCGAAGTGGAGACCGAGTTGTGCCTGGTGTGCCGCCGCTGCAGCAGGGCGTATCCGCAGGAGTCGTCGCTGCTGGCGCACCAGCGCTCTTGCTACCTGGGCAATCAGCAACGCCGCGGCGCCCTGCGCCTCGTGCAAGCACGTTACGCCTGCTCGCTGTGCGAGCCCGGCGTGCCGACGCGCATCTACACCACCGTAGGCGAGTGGCGTCGCCACGCCGAGACGTTGCAGCATCGCGCGCGTCTCGAGGCCGCCCAAGAGCGCCAGCAGCACCAACAGCAACAACAGCAGCAGCAGCAGCAGCAACAGCAATTCGCCAGCGTGGACGGCGGCGTGCAATCCGGCGAGGAGACGAATCCCCTTACCGACGAGATGGAAGACGTCGTCAATCAGATCACCCTGCTGGCGGCACGAGCCGCCGCCGAGAGCACCACCGGTCAGCCTCAGGCTGGCGGCGGCGGCGAGAAGTCCAGCCAAGACAACAACAACGGTCCCGACGTCAAACGACAAAAGCTGGTGCAGGAGGTCGCTGCCCTCGCCGGGGCACGTTAAATGCCGCCCGAGGAGCTGGATCTCGGGGGTTGATCTACCATCTCTCGCAGAGACAGGGACGGCACGTGCGACGGCACAGACTAGGAGGACGTGCGGAAGAAGCGGAAAACGGGCAGGTGGAAGAGACAGGGAGAGAGGGTGGAAAAGGCTGGAAGAGCGAGGCACAGCAATCGATGGACGTCGCTTGGAGGAGATCAGACTCGAGGACCTCGCAGTGGACGAGCAATGTTCCTAACCGGCGATCAACGGGGTAGCACGGGTGTACACCTCGGTGGAGATGGTCAGGTGCACACATCGGGTTCTCCACCGTGGACATTGCGGGGTGCGCACCCCGGGGTGCATCTACCCCGTGGCGGTGGAGAGGGGCCAGGGGAGGGGCGGAGGAGGTGGTGGAGGAGGAGGAGGAAGACGCGAAATGCGCGAACGGTGGACCACACTATCGCGAGAGATCAGAGAGCGCGTGATCATCGTCCATCCTCTCTCTCTTTCTCTCTCTCTCCATCTCTTTCTCTTGAATTGTCGTCGTTTGTGCACCGCCACTGCCGCGTTACCAGTTAAACGAACCACTCCCCGCCCTCCCCTCGCCGCCTCCTCCCAGCTTCTCCGGGCCCCCGCCCCCGATTCGCCTATTATTTTTGTAACGCGAATCCTGCGCAGCGCGCGCCGTGAAGTTGCGCGCTCTCCAAAGTTCCTCTCGTAGCACGAAAGAAAATGCGAGCGAAGAAGAAGAAGAATAAACAAATAATGAAGGGGAGAGAAGGGAGGCGAAAGGACAGAGAGACTCGACGAAGACGAGCGTAGGGACAAGAGTGGCGGAATCGCCCCGGGGAGTCGAACGAGCGCGTTCGGGGAATCCTCTTTACCGGTCAGCCAAACAACAACCGGTCGTCGGTTGGTCGGTCGGTCGGTCGGTCGGTTGGTCGGTCTGTTCGATCGGACCGATCCGATGGGTGCATGTCTCGGAGCGATGCGCGCGGCACGTTTACAGGAGAGGAGAGAAACGGCGAGTTCCGGAGGGAAAGTGCGTCGACGACGCGGAACGACGCGCGTCGAGGTGGGTTAACTTAAACGTTCCTATGTAAAGTAATAATAAAGATTTAAAGCAGAGTTACTACAAAGAGAGAAAAAGAAGCAGGAGAGAGGAAAGAAAAGAAAACGAGGCGCAGGTGGGAAACAGGCGGACGCTGACAAGGCGCGGCGTGGTAGGGTAGTTGTGTGATGCGCGGCGCGCGAAACTGAAAACGCCGCCATCGTTACGAATACGTACGTACATATTCATATATATATATATACATACATACATACATCTATATATATATATACATATATATAGATATCTGACTGTCTCTCTCTATCACTCTCTTTCTCGTTTTGACGCGCGTATGCACGTGGCTTTCCACGGATCTGTGTGTATGCGTGCGCGCGCGTGTGTGTGTCTCTCTGTTTTGTGCGTGCGCTCGTACAGATGAGTGTGTATGTGTGTGTGTATGCGTGCTTGCGTGCGTGCGTGCGTGCGCGTGTTTCGGAAAGGCACAGTGGATCGTTCAGCGACTTCGATGGCGATGTCGTAAAGTGAAAAAGAGAAAAAGAAGAGGGACACTATCGCGCGTTTTGTATTTGTCACGAACGAGACAGAGATATCCGCGATTCGCGCGAAATCGATGAGCAATGAAAGAAAATTCAACAACTGTACACGCACACACGCACACAATACGCATACCTTTTCTCTGTCACTTTCTCATTCACATGCACACGCACTATACACACTCGCCCACACAGGCACCCCACACCATACTACACCACACACACACACACGTATACACGCGCGCACTGTACGCACACGGTACTCGACAACTGGGAGCGAGAGGGTGGCACGTGCGTTTTTTTTTTTCTTTTTTTTTCTTCTGTTTTACTTTTTGAGCGCTCTTTATTTGCTGCAATTCGACAAAAGGGGAAAACGAGACGTAACGTGACGGCGGACGAAAGGGAAAACGCGACGGTGTGCATGAGGCGGCAATTAACCCCGTTGCCCGTCGGCGACACGACTCGCGTGCGCGAACGAGCAAGCAAGACCCAGAAACACATGGTTCCTATATTTAATAAATTATATTTAATAACGCTAAACAAATGATTTAGTAATAACATTAATGATAATAATAACATTAATATTAATAATAATGATAATAGAGTAACAGTACTACTAAAGTAAGTTAATGAAACTAATAATAACGTAACGATAGTAATAACGAGATAGGCATTAGAGAGCTGTCGGTAGCTGTAACGATTATTGCTAGCAATGCTCGACGATCGAAACACAACCGGTCGGCACACATCGACACTCGGGGCTAAGAGAGGGAGGGGGCGACCCGATACCGTCGAAGGGGGACAGTATCTGACCTCCGTGTTCTCCGACCTTTCTCTTCTCCGTGTCGGGCGAGGGTCTCGCGCGCGTGCGTGCGCGCGAGAGAGACAGAGAGAGAGAAAACGAAAAATCGAGCGAGAAAATTTTTAAATCTGCGATTAGAACCGGGAGAAGTTCGCGAGAGAAGACGGAAAGGCACAGAGCAACAAATCGCTCGCTCGCTCGCGTCTCGTAGGTATGACGCGTATTTTTCTCGCATCGACTGGAGCCATGGGTTGGAGAAGGCGGGCTAAGAATCCGGCCTCTCTCGATCGACGACAAGGAGAGGAATCGCGTGTAAAATCGAGAACAACAAACAATTCACTATTAGGGGGTAAGCTACGAATAAATAACGACTAAACCGTAGAGTATAAGGGACAAGGGGATGAGGTAGGGCGCGGGGGCAGGACACGCGTGTCGTCAGGGACGGCGCATGGACGCACGGAGAGACACACACATTTTCTCACACGCATAGGGGTATATATATATATATGAAAAGAAGTATATATATATATATATATATATAAATAAATGAATAAAAAAGGGAATAAATAAGAAGAATATATATATATTTAAGTAGATAAATATATATATATACATATATAAATATATATATATGATGTTGTGACGTACTAGAATCCTCGCGGATACTATCCGGAACGGTGACGTGTCTACACGCGTACGTACGTCGTGTTCCTCGCTCTGGTAGCGCTCTAAGGGCGTACACGAAGAAACGAAAGTTCGCGCATGCGGCGAGGCGGCGCGGTATGCGAGAGAAGAAAATGCGTAAGTGCCGGAAGTGCCACCGGAAGTTGCGAAAGAAAAACGAAAAAAAAAAGGAGAGAGAAACAAAACGAAAAACAGACACCGCGGCGTTTTACGCGCCGCGTTCTTGAATTTACGTGAATCATTAGGTTAAAAGGGAGAAGAGCAAAGCGAGAAAAACTGGATAGAGAACCGGGGAGAACGAGGGTGTCGCGTGCACACAGAACGAAGAAGAAACGGCACGGGGAGGGTTGAAGGAATGCACCGACGGATGGGCGCGTTCGTCTCCGGGGGCGGGGGAATGGGGCTCGAGAAGCCGGGGGAGAGTGTCTGAGATTCGGGGGCGTTTAGAGCACGTGGTCGTTGAGATCAAACGAAAAGCGAAGTAATAACTATTTCTAAGGTACTAAGCAACTCGAGGTTCCTGTCTGCAAAAGATGCTTTTTCTAACGTAACGTTGGTAAAAAACGGCGATTATTAATATTATATTTGAATTATTATTATTATTATGATTATAGATTACGATATTATATTTACATGTATGTGGTCATGTATTGATTATTATCTATATAAACGTTACAGCGTTGAACTAGCGTACATTTAACACACGTACACGTTCCAACGGACACGCGAATACACGCATACATACGTACAAACAAACGAACTGACAAGTAAGAAAGCAACATACACACACACACACACACATACACGTATACACATACTCACACTAGGAAGAACACAGTTAATCGAATTGCTAATATCGAAATTTTCAGCCGATCGTCTTTCCCGACCGGCACGATCCTCTTTTACAGGACGTACCGGCCAAGAGAAAAAAAAAAAGAAAAAAAAAAGAAAAGAAAACGTGAAATCTCTCTTCGTATAAAAAAACCGATACCTCGCAGAATAAGACAATTATAACGACGGGTGCGACCGATCCCGTGCGACTAATTAAGGCGATCGTCGCGGACTCGCGCGCGTTCGACGGCTGCAAATCCGTACTCTATCTTCAGGATCACCGCAAACCATGAGAACCCTAACACTAACACGAGCACGGGGCAACATGTTCCGAGAGAATAGAAAACGCGCGAGGAAAAAGACGCGACGGCCTGATCCGAGACGCTAAGATTACGAGAAAAAGAGGGAGAGAGAGAAAAGTGAAAAATTCGCGCATTTTTTGCCGCGTTTTCCTACGTGTGCGCGTATAGAACCGCGTATAGAGGAGGGGGTGAATATGCATTTGAACGCACAAGAGATCGCGATCTTAGTTTTTCGAATTCGCATTCGCGAGGGGTAAGGAAAAAAGGGCGCCCCGTTATCATTAATAGGCATTGTAGTATGCGTCCACATGCAGAGCCAATTATCAAACATGTACATCCATAGAGAGGAGACGCAACACCAGATACATACATACACATACACACACAATCGTACACGCAACACACACACACACACACATGCACGGCATATTCACACACACACACACACACATACACACGCGCGACACTGAAATCGAATTTTGTGTACGAACTCTCAGAGTTACACATCGCATACGAGCGTGACTCTCAAAACGCGGCTACGTACGTGCGCGTGTACGCAAAACCGGCGCGTCGGTTTTGGCGTTTTGAGTTTCGAGTACGGGAGATTGCGTGATAGAGTAACCGAACCTCGCTACTAGCTGTTCCTAAAAATCAACAATGAGTGAGTGATAAGCGTGCGCGGATTATGTAATGGAGTGAGATGAGCTAACGACTATGAGAACGAGATGTGAAAACGAGTGCTATATACATATATTACTGCGTTGCGGAGAATAAAAAAGAAGAGGAGGAGGAGGAGGAGGAGAAGGAGGAGACAGAGGAGGAGGGGAAGGAGGAGGAGAAGGAGGAGGAAAAAAAGGAGGAGAAGGAGGAAGAAGCAGAAGAAGAAAGCGCGCGACCGACGCCGCCGACGCCGTTTTCCGTCGACACGCGGACGCATTGCCCTCTCGTCGTGAGACAGCAGACGACGCGCGCAATCGATCGATGCTAATGCACAATTGTCCCTCTCCCTCTTTCTCTCTTTCTCTATCTTTTTCTCTCTCACTCTCTCTCTCTCTCTCTTTCTCTCTCTCTTTCTCTCTCTCTTGCCGCGAGAACTTGACGAACATGCTCGACGATCGCGGGATCGCGAGCGGCTCGATCGACCGCGCACTTTTATGGAAAGCGCAGTTTTGCGCCGGCGCGATTTTTCGCACGACGCGAGAGAGAGAGAGAGAGAGAGAGAGAGAGGAGAGATGAGAGGTCGCGTCGGGGCCGATTCTCCCGCGAGCTTACCGATGCTTACCGAGCATCCCTCGATGACGGTGACGACGGAGGAGCGTCGGCGCGACCGACACGTCGCGCAAACCGGCAACCGGGATGAGAATGCATCGCTGGAGGAACGGAACGTTCGCGACGGCGAGATGGAAAAGGCCACGGCGACGTCAGAGTTTTTCATTTTTGTAATGTCGTTGAGTTTCTACGAGAAATGCGTTGAGCGTGTCTATTTATTATGAGCTCTATTGATTATCTATATATTGCTATTGTGACTCTATTATTGCGATTATTACGATTATCACATTATTATCAATTATTATTATTATTATCATCGTCATTATTATTATTATTATTATCATTATTATTGCGGCAATATTACGTTATTATCTCTCGCCATTATTATTATTGCCATTATTACCATGATTATTATTACACCATTATATTGCCGATTGACTTGCGGATCTGTTCGAGCGACACTTGATTGACTATTAATTAATAATGGATACTAATTGATAACGATAGCGACTAATTCTTGTGAGAGATTGCCATGTGTATATCTATATGTACTCACTATGGGGGCACCGTGAGCCTCGTGTGGGCCCGCACGCCCACCGACGGCGCGGGGCACCCGAAACGCCGGCCCGGGCAACCCCGATGATGTTGGCGCCGCGCATCGGCTCGCGGCACGCGATGGAGATAACCGAGAAGCGCGAGAGATCCACGACGTGTGTATGTGTGTGTGCGCGCGCGTGTGTATGTGTGTGTGTGTGTGTGTGTGTGTGTGTGTGAGAGCGCTCATCAAGTGAGACTCGCTCGAGTCGCACGGGAGACCCAAGACGATAGAGTCTCGGACCTATACGACGGACACCCGAGAGCGCCTCTCTTCTCGCGCCTCTCGCCGGGCCCTTTTTGTAAAACGCGGAGGCGCAAGGAGAGACTGGCGACGGGGGGACGCGACCTTTTGCGAAGAACGACGCGCACGCAGGCACCAACACGGACCGACGGAATTACGCGTTTCGCCGAAACACAGGAGGACCGACATTGCGAACGTACCGTGCGTTTCACCTGGCTGCCTGTCAAACCTGTTCATCTTTTACGCGCCGCGGCGGAGAAGAAACGGACTTTCTCAGCGGCGGGACAATACGCGGTGTATTTTTCCGTCGCAACCCCACACACATACACACACACGCATACATACATATACCCACGTTCCCCGTTGTGTTTTGCATTGCACATCACAGTTGCCAACCACTTAAGTACGCGTCGGTGTCTCGCACCTTTAGTTCCCGTCGCGGGAGGGTTCACGCGGACTCGTTTCATTGAACCCCCGTTTAACGTGGTACGCGCGCTCGTCGCGTCGCGCAGAGGGTAACGATCTAGCGCGATCGATGATCGAGCGAGCGGCAGGGCGTAGGGAGGGAAGCAGGGGGTGCTCAAGAAGACGGAGTCGCCACGAGTTCGCGTACTCTCGCCCGCGCGGTCACCGCTCTCCGTAATCTACGCGCGCGCTCTCCCTCTTTTGTGTACAGACTTATTATGCCCGCGTTCACGGTGCCACATACACTGTATTACACGCGTAACACGCGCGTAGTTCACACGCACGTCTAGATTTTGTAACGGCTGCGAAGAGTAGGAGGAGGAGGAGGAGGAGGAGAGAGCCAGTGACGTGCACGCGCGCGAAACGCGTATTTTATCGACGACGACGACGACGACGACGTGCACACACGCGTGTGTGTGCACGCAACACGTACGTACACACATACGCAACACGACTCACGGTCTAACGACGATAAACACGTCTGTACCTGTATACGCACGAGGAAAGGGGATAATACACGCGGGCGAGACAGTGACACGCGTGACGTACATTCGTATACACGTGTGCGTTCGAGAAACCCCGGTAAAACGAACGCGGAAGGAGGTGAAGGAGGAGAAGGAGGAGGTGATGGTGGTGGAAAGACGAATGTGACGGCAGAGTCGCAATCGGAGGCGCCAACATCGTGCGGAAAAAACGGGCACGGTGCAATCATGTTCCTATTAGGTTTCATATCTAAGCGAGTAATTAATTATACCAGTAAATATAATGATGATGATGAAGGATACAATGATTATTATGTGTTATTGCATATCATACATGTATACATACACACCATCCAACACCATAGATATAGTCTATCTGCGATCCTCCGGACTTACACCTGAACCTTTTCCACTCCTATCTCTTCCTCAGCAGTCAGAGACAATGTAGTGTGCATCATGATCCTGAGTAGAGTAAAGATACCACAGACTTCTATATGTTATCAGACCGCTAACTCCTTAAAATGACACAATTTTTACGTACAAAACGAAAAATTAAAGTCATTCTTATAAAGTTGCTCTTTTTGCGTATGACAACATATATTTGCGAATGTAAAGTGATTAAGTTAGGTTTTAATGTTTTTAGTATTTGTCGTAAAAAGGGCACATTTCACTCTCTGAAATTATTAAATATATATGCTATTTATATATAATTTAATATATTTCTCACGATTGTACAGGTTAGAACTACAGAAATCATGGACAAAGTATATAAAGAAATATGAAAGAATGACGTACCAACTATAGTCGTATGCGCATAATTGAATTCTCCAGTGCATACTTTACGTAGAGATTTTACATAAGTGAAATTTAAGGAGTTAGCAGTCCAGTAATACGTAGAAGTTTGTAGTGAACACTCAATATGCCTATTGATATCTCCCTTATGCCTATTTCTACCAACGTGGACTAAACCTTAACCTAAATTTAAACTTAGTTCGAAGCTTCGCTGACAGTATTCATAGTAGAATCTTATTTAAGATAGTCTTAAGTTTATCCTCAGATGCTCCGTAGCCAGTTATATGATTCATATAGCATCTGAAGATGAATTTAAGATGATCTTAAATATAAAATCTATGCGCGAATATAATCCTTAACTCAACTTAAAATTTAATCGATGCTGGTATAAACGAGCATTAATCATTGACATTTTAGATAAATTTGGCTTTTCTTGCAACCAGCATTGCAGTTAAACTCCTTGTCTGCACTTTATGATCCTAAAAGCGATCTACACAACTAAAACTGTGAACAGATGGCATTGGTCGCAAGAAAGAAAGTTTTTCTAGAGTGTCATTAACTAAGGGGGATGTCAATAATTGAACTTTTTACCCTAATTATCGAGCGTAAGAGCACAGTTGCACGAGTAAGTTCAACGATTCCCTTTTTTTCCCTCCACATTTCCCTATCCTATCCTATCTGTTTATCCATCTATCTCTCGGCCATTGGTCCGCTTTAATTGTAAGAGGGAAGAGTGTCTCGTTTGAATGAGACGGAAACCCCTTTAGACTCTAAAGTCTGCAGCTTCCGGCTCCGAACGGTCTGATCGATACGTTGACGATAGCACGTCGTCGGAAACATTACCTTCACGTCAAGGAGAGTCGTTTAGGAGGCGAGCGAGGATGGCGAATGATGGGCCGATGAGGGGAGCGAGGAAGAGGATCACGAAGAAAATAATACTTACTTGGTTCGTAACGCCTCGTTCAGAGCCAACACGCCTCCCAGCTTAAGGTTCATGCCTGTGTTCGCTCCAGCGGGCTCTGCTCGGAAGGTCACCACCTGCAACATATTCAGAGATTTAGTTACGTTTCCTCGCCACCGACTCAGTCGCACATCTTATTTTGCGAATTTTGTTACATCTTCCATGCGTCAAGACACACTGTTGAAGCAACACTTCAAAGTCTTAAATGCGATCAATATTTTTTTTATATAATACTGCCCAGACAGACTTTCATGATTATATCGACGTAAGACAAAATCGATGATGGAAACTTTACAATTTTTTAAATTACATTATTGCAAATATACAGAGTAAATATACTGTATAAAGGAGACCGAGGTAAGTTGGCAAAACACATTATTTCTGTTATTTTCTAACAAGTTACAAAGTAAGCAAGCAAGATTTTTAAACATATCAAAGATAGCTTTTAAAATCCCTCCTTGCTTAATTCTGAAATCTGTTAAAGAACAGTAAAAATAATCGATTTCCCGGTCCTTCTACTAATTTAAATATCAAATTTACATTATACAATAATATATTTTTTTATATTGATGCAACAACAAAAATTTAGTACAAATTACACTCAAATTTTCATATTATATATTTAAAAATAAATTTTCATATGATATATTTTCAGCGAATTTCGATCATTTCTTTCGTATTTCTACTTCGTCATTTTATGTGATAAATATAAATGCCAGATGAAACACTTATAAAGAACTTTAAAAATCCAATAATATAACTGCTACGAAATTTATTTACACCTGTCTATCTGGGGATATGTTGTATTGAATTAAATTTACATTATACAATAATATAAAATTTGTGTAATATTGATGCATCACATTAACAAATTTACTAAAAGTTATATTCAAATAGTTATATTCTCATATTGTATTTCGTGTATTGTTTTCATAAAATTTTGATAATGCTTTTCGCGTATTTTTTCGTATCTCTATTCCATTACTCCAAATGACAAATACAAATGTCATATTAAGCACTTATAAAGGACGCAACTTTTAAAAATTGACTAGAGTAAAAAGGTAAAAACTAAAAATTTACGTACATTTGTCTATCCGGATGATTAATGCAGAAAAAAATGGATTCCTTTTTTCATTAATATTCATAAAGCCATTGTGAGTGCAAAAAAATTCCGAATGGACACGCTTGAGGCACAACGGATAAGGGAAACGAGAGGAAGCTACTGGGCGAATGATTTCGAAAAAATTGGTGAGATTGCACGAAGCGCGACGCTGTCGAAAATTTGATCAGCACTCGACCGCAAACATTGTCGAGCGACTAGTCAATCGGCGTTGCCATTCTATTACGCTGGATTTCATTTTATTTCCGGCTCGCGAGGCACCCCATTTCCGGACGGTGAGTATTAGTTCACCCGCAATTTGCATAGAGACGCGAAACACGCTCGCTTGAAGAACCAATGTCGCGTGATAAACTCGCTTATCGGCAGCACCGACGACGACGACTTGGCCGTTCGTATTTTCAATCACCGGCTCGTTCACACCGCTCTCACGCCGTAAATTATTTTATCCATTATCCATGCATATCCCATATCGTGCGCGGCACATAGGTAATCATAGCAATAATAATAACAATAAGTTAATAGGCTGTAGAAAACAGCCGTTTAGCCGCGACGATCGAGTGACATAATTAACGTCACCACTGACCTCCGGTATCTCCAACCGCCTATCACCTTTTCCATCCCCCATCCGATTGCTCTGCACATATGTATATACAGAAAAATACATTTTGCATTCAAATATATGTTACTTGTTCCAAGTATTTTATAAGTTTATATATCTGCAAATTTATCATAAGTTTATCATATATACATAAGCTTCAAATTTATTCAAAATACACCTTAGTAAATTTATTATTGACAGTTAAGAATATATATATATATATATATATATATTAAATTAAAATTAAAAAATCCTGCTTACTATACAGAGTATCTATTTATCTTCGATAAAGTTTTATAATATTTTTATAAATCTTTTCAGTACATAACAATAAGCTTCTCCAAAATGTGCGATATATTATAAAAAAGTACCCTTGGTTGAAGATAACTTTTATTTATATATATATATATATATATATATATATATATATATATATATATATATATATATATAAAAAAAA